CCTTTAATTTTTCCGCTACAGTACGTTGAACGTTTCGATTATAGCTATCTTCAAAATTGATTTCAACTTCTGGGAGTCATAATTCGGGTTCTATACCACCTACAAAATTAAAAAGCAATCTCTTTGCTATTTAATTACCTTTATTTTTGCTTATGACCATTTCTTTGATAAAACTTGTAGTTTTTGAGATATTCGCGAAAAATGGCTCAAAAACATGCATTTCTTGGGCTAAAATAACTCAAAAAGTATTGACTGTACAAAACATTTTTATAAAACATTTTTTGCTTAAAATTCGTCCCTCTATCGAATCGTGAGGTTATTTTTAATAAAAAATTCCCACCCTCCAGAAGGAGTGGGATCCACCCCTTGGGTAAAAGCACACATCGGCACTATATCATTTGTGTTTGTTGGGACTATTCCCTAGCTACAGTTCAAATTTCATGTCAATCCATTCCATCCGAAAAAATTGGTGGCCAAATTGCTTCAGTGACTGGACTATAATATTAATCTGACAAAGAAAGGCTTTATAAAGAACGTTGGCCATGATCACAGCGTTTGGACTTAATTTTACTTATTTCGCTAGTAGTCCATTGAAAAGTTACATTTGGGGTTGCGAAAGTCAGAGCACGCAATTTTATTTTTTGGTTAGTGTAAAGTTAAATTCATGTTTGTGGGGTCGCTAAGCCCAAAAAATTGTAACATTTCAATGGACTATAGACATTTTTTGACATAAATCCCATAAAATACCTTTTTTGCCGTAACGTCGCATTAACTACAAACTTATGCAGTTATATTTTGTGCTATTATATTTAGCATAATTAAATCAAATGTCTGGAAATTGTCAAATCAGTCCAATGTCAAATCTGATCTGATGTACCAAATCAACGATCTCCTTAGCCCTGGTTTGCAGGCATTCTGGTGATAGTTGCCAGTGAATGAACAACTTGCCACATCATCTTTTTGACGTTTCTCCGTCAGAAGAAGATATTCTGAAAGTCTTGTTCTAGTGACGTCACCGCATGGGCGTAGGCCTGCTAAATTTTTAAAGGGTAATAGATGAACACAAAAGTTAGGTACTTGAATTTGCAGGCTATCCCAGTTATGTCAGCTATACGTGTCCCTACAAACAAAGAAGCATGAACATGGCTTCCTATCCATCCGCCAGGGTTCAATCGGCTCTTGGGGCACAGTACGCTGCTCAGTCTGCATTTGCTTATCAAAGCGCATACGCTCCTGCTCCTGCGCCACAGAGTGAGTAATTTTTTACGTCTTGTTCCCCTTTTCCCTCCCTCCTTCTCAGACTAAAATTGAAAATGGAGTTAGCAAATGGTAGAAAATCACCCAATCTGTATTTCTCTCTTATTTAGATGCTACTGCTCAAACGAACTTCTACGAATGCATGAGGGGTGGTGAACTTCCTGAATATTATGAAACTGAGCCTGAAGTGAACTTAAACACCGCCTTCACTGAATATGACGAAGTGGAGTACGATGATGATGACGGACAGGACGAAGAGTATAGCGCATACGACGTATCACCCAGCGGCAGACTTCAATGCGCGTGTACCTAAATAATATTCTTAAATAATATGTGTCACTAACCAATAAATTTTTTAAGTTCTCCTATTTGCTCGTGTACTGAATTCCTGGAAAAATGTCAGTATCTAACCACCTAAAAAAAACAAACACAAATCAAAAATGCGACTATGAAGTTTTAAATTATTCACAATAAGAAAAAAACAAATTATTAAAACTCAATGAAATAAAATTATGTTTGCAAGTATCTATGTATGTTCCGACTACCTAAAGACAACAAATACAAAACAAAAATGTGACCTTAAAATATCGAACGCAATTATAACTTTCCAACAACACCCAGAAAGAAAACACAGTCGTCACCTCCATTCGCTCCAAATCAGTTTATTAAAGGATCACGCGCGCGTTATCGTTCGGCTTATTAGCTAAACAGTAGGCAAGACGGTGCGGGGGGAGGGTCGGCGATCACATCAAGCGAAGCGAGGCGCTTGAATTTTATTCTCGCGTCCGTAATTTTTTGTGATTACTCCTAAGATATTCATTTAAATTAAATGGTGTAAATGAGTAAAATAATGTGCATGAAATGCTTAAAGCCTCTAACTTATTTAAAATGATAAGGATTAATACCGTATTTGTGTAAATAGTTTTTACATTACCGCTTTATAATTGCCAACTTTTTAAAGTATTAAAATGGATATAGGTAGTATGTTATCTTTAACATATAGACATATGTCATCGCGTACTTTTCTGTAGGCATATATAAGATACACAATTCCACCATACATTGATACACTACATAAACTTTCGGACCCCCTCCGGCTCGGACGCTAGGCGCGGGGTCACGGGGCCCGGTCGAATCACGGCGACACGAAATTAATTTCGTTGCTCATTATTCTGATTTTGCTATATCTCCTAACGTATTCATTTAATTTGCATGGTGTAAAGGGAAAAAATAATCTTCATGAAAGGCTCAAGCCAACTAACGTATTTAAAATGATAAGGGTTAATACCGTATTTGTGTAAATAGCTTTTCAATTACCGTTTTATAATTGCTCATTTTTTTAAGTATTAAAATGGATATAGTATGTTATCCTTAAGTGATAGACATATGCCATCGCGGACTTTTTTGTAGACCTATATAAGATACACAATTCCACCATATATTATTTTGTTATATCTCTAAGGGTTTAGGCAGCGTTTTCGTTGAACGCTCCCAGACGGCTAATTTTTTCCGACACCTCCAACAAATATCGTTAATGTATACAAAAGCTTAACAAATTATATACTAAAACCTTCCTCGAGAACCACTCTATCCATTGGCGAAAACAGCATGAAAATCGGTGCAGTAGATTTTGAGTTTATCGCGAACAGACAGACAGACGCGGCGGAGGACATTGTTTTATAATATGTAGTGAAGTTTCCTAAAAAGTAGGCGCGACTCAAAATTTTCATTATAAAATGTTCTACAACTTTTGTCTAAAACATTTTTTCCACCAAACTGTTTAGTTTTTTAAATTAAAAAAACTGTTTTTTGCGAACTTTGTACGTCATTTTGAAAATAAGGCCCTAACATTCAGCTGGGGTAAAATATATCATTCAATTCTTCTGATTTTTTTTTAATTTTTACGCGTCTTTGTTTACTAAGCTAATATTGACACCTAAAACTCTAATTTGATTGAACTATTTCTTTGGGATTGCCCAAAAAACAAAATGCAAGCGTAATATAGTTTTAATGTCTGCAACGTCAAAAATGACGTTTCAAAATTCTTTGTATAGTACTGCCAGACACATTTTTCATCAGAATAAAACAACAAATAAAAAGTAATGGAGGAATCCTCAAACATCCCAGAATACCAACGGCGGTTCATGGATGCCTTGGAAAATTTCATGGAACAATGTTATGTGTTTGTAGAAACACAACAATCTCCTCCGTGTAAGTAAAAAATTCATTGATCTAAATAGTGTACTATATTAAATCTATGAAAAAAATGTAATGCACCAGATAGATTGTAATAAGAGTACATTTTTGTATGCAAATCTTATAAAAACTGACAATGTACTAACTCATTATTTTTTATTTAATTGACCACAAGTTACTACGAAAAACTTACCTAACTATCACGTCGAATATAGGCAACTAATTATGATATTGAAATTATTGTGTTGCCTATATTCGTAAACATAATATTTTTACAAATTTTAAATTCTTTATTTCCGCCGTTAGTTGCAACTAGAGTGTTACAAGAAACAATGTAAACTTATAGAGATTTATAAAATCCAACGATTAGTTCGATAGTTTGGAAGGGCAGTAACTTATTTTTTTTATTTGAAAGTCATACTGAGTGAAATTCATAAATTCCTAAAAAATCGTCGCTTTTTATTTTGTTTCAGTGACCGAGGAAGAGAGGATAGCGAAAATAAGCGCCATCACTAGTCTCATTCAGGAAAAGGAAAAGGAACTGACACAGCTAGAAACACAAAGAAAGGCATTGAGCTCACAGGTAAAAAAAATCGCTACAGAATACTTAAATTACTGTGAAATGTTGAAAATAGCATATTATGCAAATTTGTTTTGTGGTAGATATGACGCATATAGAAAAAAAATACTTGTCATTTCCAAATTAAAAAATTGTTAGATTTGTGATATCTTCAATCATAATGCGAATTTATGTTGTGAAAACTTTAAGTCACCTTGAATAAATGTTTGATTATTTGAAAAAAATATCAAAATGTGTTCACTCACAGTTCTTGACATCCATTTACCGTAGCTTTCCAAATGTCATGGATGAGATGAATTTTAAGTACCTACATCAAAATACATTACTGCTCTCCTTAAATATGGATACAGCAAAAATATACTGTTTTAAGTTATGTATGTACCCACCCGAACAATATGTATTTTCAGAAATCGCCTCAAAAATCTACTCAAGAGTTTCAATGCAGACCGGATTGTCCTGCGGATTGTAGTTTCGTCAAGGATAAGGGATCCACGGTAAGTTTGTATTCCTCCAAATGTATTTAAAATTTTAAATTGTTGTTTCATATTAATTATTTATATTTGTTCCAGCAGAGGCCTGCTTCACCTAATCAATAATGTCCTTTTCAATAAATACTGTATTTTTATTTTTTTGTTGACAATAAACACATGCATTAGATCTTTTATTATGCTATTTATTAAAAAGTGGAATAATCATTGAAGAAAAATAAAAAGTTATTTTAATAACACCTGAACTCTTGTGAGCTGAGAATTGGATCCATATTGGTATATGGAAATTGACAGCTCTTAAATATTCTGTGTTGAAAAAATTTGTTTCTACCCATTTCAAGGAACAACCAACATCATGTTTTCAAGCTTGAATTTCCGGTTAGGGATTCAAGAACGACACGAGTTTCGTCCATACATCGACGCAAATGAAACAAAAACGGTTTAATCGTTGCACGTATTATTTCATAATTTACAATATACATGTATATTATCATTAACATCTATAATACAATATAATTTATGATCTCGTGCAGGTGCATTATTAAATTAATACAATAATGACAACATGTCTTTTATAAATACACATAATAAGAAAACACTACAAGGGTACTAGACAAGAATAAAACAACAACAATAACATTATCGCAGATAAGTTTGGTGCAATGACAATAGTGAGATCACAAGCTACTCACTCAACTACACTATAATACTATTCATTATTTAGCCTACAATAATTAAAATATATATTACACGTAAAATGACGACTTTATACACACGATGAATCGATGATGCTTGACGAACGATCAGCTCCAGTCACATAGCCAATCCCTTCGTTTGTTCCACTCAGCAAAAGAACGAACAGCGCTTAGAGGATTGAGGGGGCCTTCATTTTGTTGATGGCGTTCGAGAGGTGCAGGACTTCTGTGTTCAGCTGTTGCACCAGCGACTCCAATTTTTCCACGGAGTCCAATACTTCAACCCTTCCGGTGTGCGGGTTGAACCTTACCTCGAAGGGTCTGGACATCTGGGACACCCACCTTCTAAACTTGTCTTTCATGTCCTCGATACTGTCAGCCACGTAGTAGACGGGTTGGTACTCTTGGTCCTGGTAGGGCTGGACAGCGGTGGAGGCTGGGTCGAATGGTCTGTGCTCTGGTTTGTCGGAGAGGGCGTGGAGCAGCTCTCCGTAGGCGCTGAGCAGTCCAGCCCCGTACACTTTGGTTTCGCCGGCTTCCTTGCAGAGACCGAATTCTACTGTGAACCAGTAAATCTGGAAAAAAATAAACGTTAATAAGCTACGTCCATCACCAGATTTGAATTTACTGAGTCGAAATCACATCAGTCGCTTTTCCAAGGATTCGACAAAAGAACAGATGAAGAAGACAGAAGATCAATAGATATAATGGTCGAAAAATCAATACTAGTATTGGAAATATCAAACTTATTCAAAAAAGGTGACTGTAATAAAGGTAAAACAACAGGCAAAACAAGTCCGTTCAAAACTGCAGAGAAAGGACTGTACTTATTTAACAAATGAGTTCTCAATAAATAATAAAGAAATGTATCCAATTAAATGAGTGAAAGCGAACAAGTCTCGTCATTTTTTAAGGCGTTTGCAGGATTGCGATTATTCATTTTCTCAACACAGATGTTCAAGGACTCTCATAGAGTCAGAAGATTTTTTCTTTAGTAGGTGCTTGATATGCCTCTTTAAGTAGTTTATTTGTAGAAAATCAGGCAAAATACTGAAATCGAAGAAAGCGAAACGGCAAACAGAAGACGTCTACGGTCTACGTGACCGCGTCAGGCGGACAGCGAAATCCTAATCATTTCTTTTATCTCAGAACCGATTAGCGATTGCGAAACGAAAGTGACCCTGTTCGAGTTAGGTAAGTGCGGTTGGTGTACTTCTCAATGCTCGGTCACGCGTGGCTAGTACTTAACCATGACACGGTGATCGCGTTTGTCAAAGCAAAAATCGCCTTTTAAGTGAACGACGATCTAAGGATAAGGCCTCTCGGAGAGCGTTTTAGCGATTATAACGTTTTTCGCGTATGTATTAAGCGGCTGTAACGTTTACCTAAAGCAATTCTTGGGATACAGTTTTTGCAAACGGGATTCAAAATCAATCCCGAAATTTAATGAAAAAAAAAAGGCATGACGGCCTAATGTTAAATTTGCATAAATTATTACCTGGCCAAAAAAATTACCGTATAAGAAATTTTATTCTGAGTTTCTTCTTCTTTAAAATCGGCCCAAAACGGTAAACATGGCCAAAAAAATTCACAAAGTTGCAAGTAATGGTTTTCCTTAAAAAAAATTTTAAATGAGAAAGTTGTAGGTTTTAAAAAGATCTATCGACTGACTTTTTATACATATCGATTGCTTTGTTACATTTCGAGATATGTCAAATAATAAAATAAAAATTAATAAAACATATCACATTATTTTTTATTTTTTTCCTTGAAAATGTAAGTATTCAATATTAACCTCCATCAAACGCATCGCTTTAAAATGTTAATTGCGTCTTCTAAATGTTCTAGTCAAAGAAAAACATTTTTTTTTCAGTTTGTGAAAAAATGTCGGCAATTGCTTTCTATAAAAGTCATTGCCGTGAAGTAAAAATTGAAATAGTTATTTGAAGAAAAACATACTCAAAAAGTCATCGTTTTTTGATCTTTAAAATTAATAAAATCGTCAAAAATTTTTTATGCCATTACTCTTTACATAGAAACTAAATCGAAAATCGTTACTGTAGGGCAATTCGCTGAGAAGATCTAGCCAATCTTCGAGAGCGCCTTTTTTTCAAAGAATCGATATATAAATGTTTCAAAAATGTACTTTTTTCGCTTGCCACGGGCTATGTTTACAGTAAACAGCAAGTATGGGAACGTAAATGTAAACAAGTAATAGGAGAAAAGCAAAAAGAGAAGATTTTTAGCGGTTTTTTTGAAAAGTAACAAAGCAGTCGATACTTACAAAAAGTACAAATTTTTCGAGCTATAGTTTTTTAGTTATTTTAGAAAAACCGCTTTTCGCAAATTTGCGAATTTTTTTGGCCATCTCAATTTAAAATTTCCTATACGGTCATATACATTTTTTCCAGGTAATAATTTCTGTAAGCACTTCTCTACAGGGTGTCTCATAATTAGCTGCCAACCCTGAACAGGCCGATTCTATGATCAAAACTAAGTAAAAAAGTTCATATGAACATGGGTCCGGAAATGCTTCCTGAGGGCACAGGGACCCATTGAAGAGGGAGGAATGGAAATCATTTTTTTGCAATATCTCTCAATCGCGTTGTGATAAATGAATGAAATTTGGTATAAACAGCTAAATTTTGATGAGCAATTTGATGGACTAATCCATTTATTTCCACAAGGTCCATTGGGGTGGGTACGGGGGGGGGGGGGGCCTTGGTACTTTGCGTGTGTAACTTTTTCATCTTTGACTTTTTAACAAATTGGACAGCAAATTCCGTTTTTTACCATGAAATTGAGCAAAGTGGGATTAATTCAAGAGCGATTTTCTCAGAAACCGTTAAAAATAACGATTTGAAACAAGAGTACCTTTTTAACGTAAAACAGTTCGGAAAAACGGAATTTGCTGTCCAATTTGTTAAAAAGTCAAAGATGAAAAAGTTACACACGCAAAGTACCAAGGCCCGTACCCACCCCAATGGACCTTGTGGAAATAAATGGATTAGTCCATCAAATTGCTCATCAAAATTTAGCTGTGTATACCAAATTTCATTCATTTATCACATCGCGATTGAGAGATATTGCAAAAAAATGATTTCCATTCCTCCCTCTTCAATGGGTCCCTGTGCCCTTAGGAAGCATTTCCGGACCCATGTTCATATGAACTTTTTTACTTAGTTTTGATCATAGAATCGGCCTGTTCAGAGTTGGCAGCTAATTATGAGACACCCTGTATAATGCTTGGACTATTTTGTCAAAATGAAAAAATAACTTCTTTAATTAATCCAATTTTCCAATCATATAAATTCAAACCAAAGTTATGTCGTGGACTAAAACAATGCTATTTATCTTAAATGTATTTTCAGTATACCAGATTAGTTGTAAAGAGTGTGAACTTAGAGACATTTGGGATCAGATCATTTGAAAATACCTGCTTTTGACGTTGAAGACGTTATCGAAGTCGAACTAGCTTGAAGTTCTTTACTCTCTTTCAGTGAGTCCCGATTGCCTGGATATAAAGTATTTATTGGCAGTAAAAACTGTTTTACATAAGAGTTTACTTACAAGAAGACATAACATGAGCCGTAAACTATTTTCGTTTTATGGACCAGAACCAAAAAAATATATATTAATATTTAATCGACTCATATTTAATCTTATAGTTCCAAATGTTATTTTTCATCCAAAACATATCGAGTAGCTGATATCGATTTTGAACTGGCGAAACGAATAAATTATCCTAGTACTTACGGTAGACAATTTCTCAATTTCCTCGTCTGAAGCTCCAAGGGACGCCAGTCCAATTTCTTGAGAGAATTGCGCGAAGCTGGGATCCGCCAACAGAGGCATGTGTCCAAGGATCTCGTGGATGCAATCGCTGAAAAGAACGAAGGGCTCAATCGACAATATCTTATAAAAGGATCCCTTAAACCTATCCAGTAATTCCCCCGGGAGGTTCCGATACGATCACTCTTAAACGGAAAGAATTATGCCGTACAGGATTGGAACTGAATTTTCACGAAAGCGACAAATCGTATTACAAGGTGAACCCCGTCGATATAAAATTAATTTGCAATTGCAAAGTTAAACGCCAAGAGTAAAGCTATTAGCCTAGCCGTTCGATATAATGGCGTTTTAATTGAATCAGTGAAGTTCTTTGATGGCACTCGGCACTAATGCAACACTTGGGACTCGAAATTTTCACAGAAGCACGGGAATTACCAGCTACGCCTACAATTTTCATTGTAAAATTAACCGGAGGCTAATTTATAAAAATGCTGCATTGTTGTGCAATTATAAAATATGAATGGAATTTGTTTATAATCACTCCAACGTTCTGTCAATATTTAATTAGAAATAAAACACATAAATTCAAATTTTAATCATAGAAAATTAACATGTAAATGTAAATATTGTTGAATAATAAGTAATTTAATATTTATGACACAGCTGTTAAAAGCAACTTAATATTTTTGGTATGAGATTTGAAAACGAAGCGATTTTTTAATTTGTTCTTGAAACTTTGTATTATGAAACGATTATACAAGGTGTTATACAAGCTCTATGACTGTCAGGTAGTTGCTGGATTAATTTCAAACATTTTTTCTTATACGTTAATCGGTCCTATGTTCTGATAAGAAAAAATGTTTGAAATTAACTCAGCTATCATCTGTCAAAGTATGTTATAGAGCATGCTGAATACCCTGTATAGGGCGATTCTTAATTTGACTGCCACACCTCTATAGCATGTTCCTTTATTAAAAACAAAAGCTCTATCGAATTTAGGGTGAAATTTTGTTCATCTTTTTAAATAAATGTTAATTTATATTCAATGTGCTTCAGTAATTTTTCAAGAGCAGTCATTTTTTCCTCAAGATAACCATGACTAAATGTTTTAATCCTCTATAAATACTTATAGTAGCAATAGTTCAATTTTTTTAGAAGATGTTAAAAAAACATGCCCAAAAAGTATTCTTTTACGCGTTGTATTTTTGTAACGAGTCAGAATTGACGCCTAGTTAATTGTAATTGTGTTAATTTTGACCTAACACCCTACAGATTCCGAGCAGTAATTAAGCAACACCCAGTATAATACTAGTTTCGAATGCAACGAAACAGAAAAACTCTCAAAGACAATGTTGGGTGCTTTATACTCCATTTAGTAAAAGTTGAAAGGTTTGCTTTTATAGCGGCATTAGAAAACGTAGCGGGAAATAAAAATAAGGACTACTTACGGCTCAGGGGTGTGGAAAGGAGTCTTGGTGTGGCGCACGTACTGTGTGCTCTGGAAAATTCTGAAAGCCAGCGAAGCCAAGAAGTCTCTGGCTGTCAGGAGCCCAGCTGCAGGTCGAAGGGTGAAGCCGGTACACTTCTTCATGAAATTGGACATTTCCTCTAGCTGCGGGACCTGGTTTGGTTGGAAGATACCTTCTTCCTGAAGTACGCGGAATACCCTGCGGTATTCTGCACAAGCGTGCTTCGGCATCAGATCCAGAACAGTGGTGAATACCGCGTTCCAGGTCTTGTTTTCAGTTTCGGTGTATTCGATGTATGGGATTGGGTCTCCGCTGAAATAAACAAGATTGTTAAAGAACTGGATGGATCAGATTGGTGAATCGTTGAAGCTATTCCAATAACATTGGAATGTTTTGTCTGCACTTACTATTTGTACGCAAATGCAATTTCTGCGATATCCTTCCTTCTTTCGCGGTACACCTTGTCGGAGAACCCGGGGTGGTTCATGTCAAGATCCGGTTCATATTTGGTCATGAGGTGGTTGCAGTTGTCCAACTCGCTAGCGTGTCTTGGGAACCATGGGTTCTTAGCGGATATGTTGTCTTCACCGATCAAAGTCACGTGTTCTAAGGTACCAGACTGACGTAGGCCCTTGATCAGCTGAAGAAGATTAACGCGAGTCATGTCGATCTTGACGAGGGCGTCAAGCTGGTTGTTCTCCTTTTGGTTGGGGCGGGTTTCCAGGTGTACGACGACTCCTTGGTACTTTTCGATGGTCTTCAAGACGCGAGAGAGGGAGTTCATGCCTTCGCGGAGACGCAGGATCAAAGCGGCGCGTTGGATGGCCTTTTCGGCATCGGGTCCTTCAGCGATGGCGTTGGCCAATACCACTTCTTCTTCGGAGAGGCCAGAGTCTGAAAAATTGTAAATAATATTGGTATTTGGTCCAATTATAATAATTTGGGTGTAATATTTGAAAAATATTATTTTCCCAAGAGATTATCTACTATTTAAATTCAAAAGTGTAGTAAAAATATTCAAAGGTGACGTAAAATATGCCATTAAAGCTGTTAAACTTCCTCGACGTATTTTGTTGACAAATTCTCGGTAATTAAAATAACTAACAGAGCATCGATATATCTGTATGCAAATGGAAAAAATAAACATTCCAGTGTTTATATGTTTAATATGTTATTCGGCACGACGGCCAGTAAGCAGATATGACCATAAAAAATGTCCTTAAAATAAATCTTCGGTTAGCTTTGAACTAAAAGAGCGATCTTGCGAAACGGAATAATAAATAATCCCACAATTTTCTACGGCAGTTTTATGTAATTTTTATATAATTGTGCGTTAAATTAGCGGCGCGTAACGCCGCCCAGCCTTGTATTCGGAGTGCTAGAACTTGACACAGTTATCTGAACTTGAATATTACATTCGGAGCATAATTCTATTATTCTTTCTGCGAACTTTGCGACGAAAGAAATATAATAATTGCGCCGAGAGAGTAATGTAACAAGTAGAGTGCAATTCGCACAAAGGCCCTAAACCACTTCGTCCGGCTTTTATGGTGTCAAAAGTCAATTTTCACCCTCCATTTGTCGAGAAGAACCAGATTTAACGGTTAAGCTCTGAAAATATGACGGGATCGAGAAAAGTAAATCGTTAATATAATGACGGGCTTTAAATCTGAAGGTAGAAGGATTTAGACAATATTCTTTCCAGTTTCAGCGGCTTTTAGACCTGGACCAACTTTTTCCTCGGGAAATAACAGCGACAAGTTTATTCAAGCATGTAAATAACGATACTCACCATCCTCGCTCTGTTGTTCTGGCTTTTGGGTTGGTTTGTCGTCAAATTCAATTTCGTGATCTACACTAGAGTCTAGAACGGAAAACAAACACATGCAACATAAATCATGCAAAGATACACTGAGAAAAAGTTTAAAAGCGCCTCAGGAATGCATATTAAAGACCTACTACGTCACACTCAAAACGCAAAAGGATATCTAATTGTTTTAAGCATAAGTTTCTTAAGAATTTGTGATAAAAATAACTCTATTCCAATTAATATAGAGGAGAAACTATTTAGAAGATAATGATTGTATTTTGTTGGACGTATAGAGATTAAAAGTTATCGAATAACTAAAAGCAAAATTCTAAATAAATATAAATAAGTGTAAAACATTTATTTAATACCTTAGAACTTGAAATGGTGATCCTAATAAGCTTACTATTCAGTTTTATAAAAAAATTAAAAGTTGGTGCACAATATAACGCACCTTTTTTATTCAATTAACAAAAAAATTTATTATTTTTATTATCAAATAAATAGGAACTACCTCTATTGCCTTCAATATGTTGGCTAAATTATTGAAGCTAAAATATTTACAGTTTATGTTTAAAATGACAAAAATTTAAACTGAAAAAATTGATATAAATGGTAATTTATAATAAATCATTATGCGAATATATTTAAGTATAAACTTTTTAATGTATTACAATTTATTTAAAATTTATTCAGAAAAATGCCCTATATTTTTATTACTTCAATGCGTAAATACTGGGTGTTTTAGAAATATGAACCAGAATATTAATCACAATTTTTTTCGAAAATCTTTTTGTTTTAATTGTTTTAATTTAATTAAGTGTTGACTAAATCTAAGAGTAAAAGAAGAAAAAGTATTGCAAATGTTAAATTTATACGTTGAAAATAACTAGAAAGTAACAAAAAAACCAAAACCAAACGAATTGGCCAATTTGTTGATCAATATATTGCGTCCGAAACTGGCAAACGTAAAACAAGCTTAAATGCTATCGGATAAAAGTGAACCAAAGTTACCACAAGCAAAGACATTCCTTCAACTTAAGCCGAAGTCAACTTACCATTGGCACGCTGACGAGCCTCATCCAGTACCGTTTGCTTCGTTTGCTTCACCACCAAGGTCTCGAAACGGGCGTCGTCGACAAGGGAACGACGTCTTGCGGGGTAGCCGTTCTGAAAAAAAAAAATAACGGGTCTTTGAGTTTCGGGACCTTTTGTCTAGAACAGACGGATGTGGAGGAATTGTCGGAAATTGGCTTCTCAACTTTCTTTTGCGCGAAACAGACGGCCTGGGAAGTGGGTGGGACAACTTCGGAGTACGGAGTTCAGCAGGAAAATTATATCTGAGCAAAGTGTAGTTGGATTTCGAAACCCTAATGAGGTTTCACAGGAGGGTAATGTAAAGAATAATAATTAATTGGAGAATACAAGGTTTAGATGAACGATGAATGATTTAATTCTTTACCTGCAATCTCTTTAGAACGTAGCATTTCTTTATTATTTTTTTTTGTATAGAACTGTACTGTATGTATCACATTTTGATAAAAAATATTTTTGAACAGATAAATAAATACCTGAATTATGTGTCTCGATTCTGAACCAAATAATTAATTACTAAATCAGTTTTTTCTTTCATTAAAATTATTATTTGTAATTATTTATCTACTTATTTTGTTTTTATACAAGTTGTGTGAATGAGTATTAAAAAATAAGATGATATTTTGAGTCCATTATATTTTCTTCTCAATATACAGCGTGTCCCACTAGTGCGGGAAAGTCCAATATCTATGTTAAAATGAGGAATATATGGATTTTTCTTTTTACTGTGTTGTCACATTTCTCGGAATGTACAAATTAAAAACATATTCAACTATACAGGGTGTTCCACTTTTCCTGGCCAGACACCAACTTTGGTTTTTAAATGGAAACACACATTTTTTATATTTTTTTCGGATTCTACATCAAAAATAAAGGGTACTTTGTGTAGAATAGTTCTATTCAAATATTCACAGTTTTTGAGATATCTCGCTTGAAAGGTTTTTCTAGTCGATATTGGCTGCTTACATTTTCTGATACTGACAGGTTATACTAATAGCTAATAAGCCCATTTTTTTATCAGGTGTTTAGTAAGGATGACTCTTCCGAATCATGCTCCAAAAACTGGCCTGCGTTGATCAAAATATCATGTCAAAATTGACAATTGAAAAATTGAAAAATCTCGAATTTTTTGAATGCAACACCCTGTATATTTTCATACCATGAGATGGAGAATTAAATTCTCTACACCTTTGCTATATCTGCTCCCATTTTAATATAGATATTGGACTTTCCCACACTAGTGAGGCACGCTGTATAGGGAGTTGAAATTCATTTTGTCAGTATCTCCCAAAATAAACGACATTGAAATTTGATGAAATTTGATGACTATATTTTGTGGGACCCTGAATACCTTGAATAAAACTTTGCAATAAATAATTGGAAAGGGAAAGAGAAAACATCAAACATTTTTTTATTGGGGTTGTAGTTTTTGTATATCTTCATTGCTCTCATTGTTATAACTTTTTTATTCGTAATTATAGTTAAATAATTCATGTATTAAATTTCAATTTTATTGTTCGATTGCAAACTGAACATAAAAAAGAACAAATTAGAGGACATTTTATGTGTTTTTTAATGTATTTCTGATTGTATAGATACAATTTAGGAAGAAAAGGAATTATAAAAACCATTAAAAATAGTCAGTTTAAAGTTTCAAATTCTCTTGAGTTTTAAAAATTAATGCTTAATTATCCCCCTTGAACGAATTACCCCTCCCCTTTCGCGCAATTAAATTAAAAATACATTATTGTCGGCAATATCTCATCAAGGAAAAGCAAATTCAGATTTCAGTTTGCTTTCAGCATATTATTATGAACAGAATCTATACTTATACAAATAATAATAATAATGATAAATGCAAATTTCCAAAGGCACTGTTCATAGATTTAAGCTTGTTTTAACATGTATTTGAATTTTTCACAGTTGAACTGATGGTTCACAATATTCGAATTCGAAAGGATGTAATTTTCAATAGCGGAAAAAACTCTCATTATTCCACCTGTGCTAATTACCCCTTCTCTTTCGGACAATTAAATCAAAAGCACAAGCACCTTATTATCGACTGTACTCAAAAAAAATAATAATTGTAATTTCCGGAGGCGCGACTGCCGGTTGTCCCTGAAACAGGGGGGCGGAACATCGGCAACCAACTATTGCGCTGGTACCCCTCCAGCAAGGTCCTTACATTTACATGTCCCCGGCCGCTCCAGTGCGTTCTCTGGCCGTGATCTTACTCTCTATAAATCTAATTAACATCTTTATCGAGGTAGATTGTTATCCGCGCGACGTACTGCAGGCGATTCTTGAGCAACAGCTACGCGGAAAAAACAGAAGTTAATTGAAACAGATACCAGATACGTTGATTTGGCTGATCGGATCTGGATGTGACACGTAGGAACGCCTCTGACTCAGGATTTTTGGAGTGGCCGGCAGATGCGCCAGATTCAATTCAAGATAACAAATAAATGTATCCTTGATTCCAAATAATCGCTTTTTTCAGTGTATAACTTTTTATAAATTTATGACGAAGAATAATCTCTTATTCAGTTTTAGATAATAAAATTAATAAATAGTAGGTATACAACGCAAATAACTCATAGTTTTTATTTATCTTTACAACCGTTTATTTAGCAACAACTGCAGGATTCAGGAATTCCGAAGTACCAGTACATTATGAATTTATGGTCCCGTTTATAACGCTCACATTAAGAAAATTGCAACATTAGTGCAATATTTACCTTGATATTTCCCGCGGATTGCGAAATACTATATACTTGTTAAGCAGCTAAAGAATTCTAACGGCTGATGGATGCTTGGAAGCATTTTTCTAGTCATTTAATTCGGTGACGTAATCCATTAATTTAATTGATATTAATCAATTAAACCGCTGTAATTTGCAAAAATAATTCAGGGTCGTTTTTATCCAATAAACAAGAGTAACAGAAATGTATGCCAAATGTTTACTACCAGAATTTTGTTTGTTTTGGGAATTTTACTACTTAAAAAACAATTTTAATTTAAGCATTCTTCTTTCGCCCATTAGTGCAAGATTATAACCAAAATAATTTATCTATTTGCGCATATTATAATGTTAAAATAGACATGTTATTGAGGGGCGACAATTTGTTTGTTCAAGATGAGGTTCTCGATTCAAGATAACATTTTTTCTGTGGTTTTCTAACAAATAAACACATTAAAAAGTATATAAACTAATAATTAACTAGTATTGACTACTAACTGTAGACAGAACATAAAGAATTTTATATGAGAAATATTGTTTTTGTAAAAATGAAGAATTTGTTATTTTTAGAAGCAAGCTATTGCTTATGCTGCTATTATACCTTTTTTTAATGTCAATAAAGTGGCAATAATTAATAATAATTTCTTTGTCTGTTTTGCTTGTTGTAATGACTCGTTTTTACAAATATGATGAACGTTTTTTTTTATAATTATAATTTAATAAGTCTACGAGCTGTATTTTGATAATTGTAACTTTTCCGATAAATTAACTTTTGAGCCTTTAAACTTTATCAAATCTCTGGTAACAAGAAGATGCAGCGAGACTGTATGTTCAATGTGTGACAACGTTAAGCTTACGAAATTGGGCTTTATCCTCTCGCTAGTACAGCTTTTTATTCAGGATAGACTAATTGGAAACTGTAAGAATATATTAGGAATATTACAAACGAACTTTTCCCTGAACTATACAATAGAAAATAACTCATTTTACACAAAGTGCGATTTCTTTTTCCATTTACAGTGTTTATAACAGGTGCTTTGTTTTACTACAAATGCAAATTTGTGTGTATCTTTTTAATTAAATTAATTTATCAACCATCGAGCACCTGCCGTCCTTGGGCTTTGGGCCCGACTGATTTTCCAACATTTTTACAACTGCCCGTGCTCGCATTTTTTTTCTACCGAAGATGGGGAACTCCACACACAAATTTACACTTAGCGGACGATAAAACTTACCTCGATGCTGTAGGATTTCTTGATGGCGAACATTTCTCTATTCTTCTGGGCAGCGGCGACTGCGGCCATTTTTCGAACCTGGAGATTTCAACGGGGGGTGGTGTAACTCGCTAAAAGTTGGACCGGGATCAGCCTGAAAGCACTAGTTTTCACTGCTGATGTGTCGCGTTGGTATGTAGACCGACAAACTTCGACCACGATCAGTGACTGATAACCGTCTGTCGAAAAATGGGCTAATGACGCTTCTTAGCGAGTAGTAGCAAACGAGTGTGCGGATCGGCTGCGAGGGGTTTCGCTATATGTACTTGAACCCCTTCCCTGTGGTGCCCCCCACGCGGGGCGTCGCGGCCCTTTCATTGTTGCGAAAAATCGTCACGCCTGCGTCAGACGTCGGCGACTCCGGGATCCCCTGTTCGGCAAGGTTCCCGGGGTATCTCCGCGCCGGAGCCGGCGAGGAACCACCGCCAGGGGCGCCCGTCAGCGGGGGCACCGCTGCAATTTATCGCCGTCGTGTTGATTAACGCCGCGTTGATGGCTTTCTTATCTGTTTGCATGTTTTTTTTTGAGTGGCAATGCTAAACATCCGATGAATCGAAGGGATTTACTTAAATTACAATTTGAAGAACGTTTTCTGAAAATTTATTTTTTGTTTTATTTATCTATTTGCGTATTTTGCAGAGAATTTTGTTGCAACACTTTTTAAGAACATTGAAAGTAAAAGAAATTCTTCAAACAAAGAAAAATCAGGTACATCCACAAGAAAAGTTCCATAAATTCGTGTACTATCGGAAAAATTAAGGAGAATAAGTAACAAACTTAGCACTAGCATAGTTTGTCAGATAACTAATACTTTACGGACCTTGTTGTCAAAGACGCGCCCTAAATAATGATTTTCAACATTCAGAAAATTGCGTTTTTAGCATATCTTGCGAATTAAATAAATATTATATTGGAGAGGCCTCTCGAACTGTAAAAGTTAGAACAGATGAGCTCAAAGATTACATTAAAAAACAAGAATATGAGGTTCAGCCAAAATTTTGGAGCAGGAAAACAATGCTGTTAAAAGAAAATTACTGAAATTGGATACTTGTTTGCTACAAATTTTGGGAAAGATTGCGCCCCAAAATGCACCTGAACGAGGGCAAAATTTTCATCCTGAAAAAAACTTCATATAAATGGAAACCGTGGTAAATTTTTTTCCAGAGAATACATGAGGTATATTTTTTCTTATATTTTATTATTTTAAATTTTATGGAAGGAAATGTATCTCATATCACAAATCACTTGTACTATAACCTGCTGTAAGCAATGCATCGACTTACCAAACATGTATACTTTGTCCTTTAAATAAGTGCTGAGGTTTTTTTGCAGAAATTGTTTTATATGTATTTTTAATTTTTACCAACTTCGTTAATTTAAACCTGCTATACCAAGTTTTTCATTGTACTATCGCTTTAAGAAAGCTGTTTAAATTAATATTAAATTTATATGATAATGTAAACCAAAAAATGCAAAATTAAGATCCTTCTTCAACTGAATGTGTACCCAACTTTGATAGACTTGATGACGTAGGTCATAAATGTGCCACTTCAATTCAACTGACACATCCCTTATAGGCTGGGATTTTCCTGCAAAAAGAATGTCGCTTGCCTTGTACATACGTCTGTAATGGTTAAGAGTTGACTTGGTTTCTATTAAGCGGGACTAAATCATTTTATTTAGAACAACAATTGAGTAAAAAAAAACATTAAAAAATATGTACTTTGCTTTGTAAACAAAGATAGATACGATAGTTTGCATAAGCTTTTCAAATCGAATTAGTCTGATGACACATTCGTGTAACCAAGACGACATTTAGAACATAAAAAACGTTTAAATCCATGTTTGTTTGCTACTAACAACAAGCTCCCTTACAGTTTTTTTTAAATATTTACTTAAAATAGTTTTTTTTTTGGAAAAAACTCATATAGTGTAAATTGCAATAGTTTTTTAAAACTGTATATTGAAGTAGAGAAACTGTGTCATTTTTGGTTCAAGACTGAAAAAAGTAGGTCACTATTTGACTAGAAGCAAAGCTCAGACGTGAATTTCGGATTAATGCCGTGACATTGTTCTTATCTACTCGGCCAAAACATTAAAGCATTTCTTCAGCTCTACTTGTTCGCGAATACGCAAATGATTAATTAAAATGAAAAAAAAATTGATTTAATTCGTTCAAAAAAGTCGTGATTATATTTTGAACATTTTGATTTTTGTGTCCACCTTTTTTTCTAAAATAACTTTTAAACTATATCGAAATGAAATTTTTTTGTAAATACATACAGTGTGCCCAAACAAAATGATTCCGGTAAGATAAAAAATGTTTGTGTCAAAAAGTGGCTTTCTAGGATTAATCCTTTCCAAAAGCCGGTGACCCCAGGGCTAAAGGTTAATGATTTTGAAGTCAAATGACTCCTAAGGCTAATGGTCAATGATAAAATAGGACCAAAGGTCAATAACTCTGGGACCAAAGGCCAATGATGTCAGACCATAGGTTAATGATTTTGAAGCCAAATGACACTAGGCTAATGGTCGATGATCCTACGACCAAAGGTCAATAACCCTCAGACCAAAGGCGAATGATGCCAGGCCAAAGGTCCCTGTGACCAAAAAGGTCAATAACTCTATTTTGGACATTCAGTCACTGACCTTGCCCTTTTGATATATTTACAAGATGTCTGAACGTTCTTTCATTTCGGAATATTTTCAGATATTTTGGTATTTTCGACGTATTTTTCGAAGGGTTCTGAAGTATTTCAATGAACATACTCTTGTTAGAAACAAAAAATATTGTCCTCTTAGGATTCTGTCTTGCCTGTTTGTGAAACGAAATCTGGCGTGGTTTCAAATCTGTAAAATGCAGTAAGCCTTTTTCATTTAGAAAAATCTTGTGCCATTTCTCGATGAGATACGGCTGTAATGCTATTAAGAATAGTTTCTGAGGAAAAGCTGTTGCCATATAATTTGGGATGGTGTCGGAAAATTACTGCGAACACGAATAGTTATCCAGATCTTGCGACATATTCTTCCAAATGTGTCAAAGGGAATTACTGTAAAATGTAAGAACTCATCCTTAAATCTATTTTGATTCTGAAATGCGCAATTTAAAAATGAGCACCAAAATTGTATAACACAGACAATTAATAAGCAATTACCAAGTAAAAACCAACCACGAAAAGATGCCTGATTAGAAATAATGGCAGGTGAGAAACAAAATATAATCATTCTAGGAAATTCTCCAACAGCTTAATGATACACTTGAACTCTGATTGCCAAATAAATCCACATAAAACTAAATGAAGGTTCCAGAAAATAAAAAAGGAGAAATACAAGTTATAAAAACGTACTAAAATAGGTAGCAAGCTACCTTTGGTCTGAATAATTAAACTAATAACTATTCTGAGAAAAAGCATTGCATCTTTAAGAACAGGTGGTGTAAATATAAATAACATCGTTGGGAAATCCGACTGGTTAATAGCTCATAACAATCAATAAAAAACCATGCAATCCTTTCTCGCCACAAGTCCCCGGGAGGTGATACACCCAACCTCAGTTGGAGAGTTTTTAGAATTTCTGAAAGCATTTAAATGTATTTTGTTGGGTTTTATTCCCAAATAACCAACTTAGCAATACTTATTATTTTTTCCCCTAATATCTTACATAACAGGAAAAACGACAGGTAAAAACGTCCCAGATTTAAGACTGTTTTGGAGCTCATTAGTTGATTTTTCTAATAAACGCATATGGTTTAATTAAGACATTAAAAACACGCTGACAGATAAAAAAAAATAGGGATTGATTTTTTCATACTTGGACTCTTTGTTACTATAGTTTTTAGTCTTGGATATATTTTGTAGCGGCTGTAAAAACAAATTGATTCTTATGTTCCAATTTAATAAACAATTTTAATTCTAATAAAGCATGATAAACACAAAAAGTAATTGCGTCGGTTTATTTTATAAGTATTTTATGTATATAATATTTTCATATCGTCCGAATACGTATTTGGTTGTCGAGATGATTTAGATTCCACGATTTCGAAAATACAAACCTATCTGAGACGTTTTACGTGTTCGATACTGCTACAGTGTCCACAGACGTGAGGATTTAAAACAATTACAACAGGTTTTAGTTGTTATTTGGTGTATTTCTTAATAAAAATTGAATATTAAACGGTTATTCAAGGTGATCCGAACAATTATTGTAATACTTGCTCGACAGTAAGTAACTGTACTGTTATTTTTTCAGTGCTGGAAAAAATGATAAATTAAAATGCAATTTGATAGTGAAATATGTAGAAATATATATTACGAACAGTAGTAACCTGAGCTTATTTGAATAAAAAATATCGTTGTATAAAAGTCAAGGATCTAATTAAAAAAATTGGGAACTAAAGGTGGTGCTATTCTTATCCAAATGCATTGTTAAATTGTGACATTGAAAACTATAGTGCCTTTTGTAATTAGTTGGTTACTTTTTTGAAGAAGGTACAAAGTGTTAACTAGATGCTGTGAGAAATGCAAACCCAGTTTTTCGGTTGTCAAATTTTCTCTCTCTGTGGATTATCTAATTATTTAATATACAATGCTGTTATGAACTGTTGTTATGTTAACATCAAACAACAATACACAGTAGACACCGATTGCACCATGAAATTATAGACAATTTGGCCCGCCACTGATTTGCAACGTGTGTCACTACCCAGATAGCGGCGGCCAACGGTTCTTGGAATTGACGATAACGCGAAACCTACCTTCCTGACGTGCCGCGGAACTCCCAAACATAAACTGGTAGGTGTCAAGACACGCGGTAACGGAATTTTTACGTTTCATCAACTGAGATTATAACCACATTATATTTGGTTCATTTCTAATAAGAAACGTTTCCTATTTATAACACCGAATTTCAAAAGGAAAATCCACAACGGCGAAATAGCGCTATTTCGTGTTGAGTGAATTATGAAAGACTGATTCGTTGTCATAAGCGCCAATGTCTTCACTAACGTCGTCGTCGTCATCAACCTCATCATCACCATTATCTTCATCATTATTCCCATCGTGGTCGTTACACCGTCATCTTCATCATCGTTGTTGTTGAAAATACACCACAACATCGTTTTTAGCTACTTCAAAGCTGACTTTTCAGTAAAAACTCACCCTTTTCGATGAAGCTACATGACTCGAAGGATTATTTTCTTGGTAGTTTCGTAATAGAATGTGGATTTATCGGAAAATGAGAACTACT